AATATTTATAATTTTGAAGCTTTAAAAGGAACTTCTTTTTATATCTGGTTTTTGAATGAGAAGTGTGAGACACATATAGGTGACATGTTTCTAAGACCAGGCTAAAGTGAGTTAGGGATTGGTTCATGTTAGTATTTTACCCAAATTAAGGTGATGGGTAGAATTTATCCACTTTTAAAATTCTCGACGATAATATGTACACTCACCCGATAGTTGAGGGTTAAAACACACACTTGTCCTAAGAGGGCATTGGTTTGGTTGAACCAGTCGAAAAGTTGACTAGAAAATGGGGGTGCATCTTAGCAAAGCTAGTTTATCCGAAGGAGGATAAGGTCAGATCACGCGGTGGCCAGAGACGAATTCAGAATTTAAATTTTGATGATTTATGCCTTAAATTGTAGTTTTATTTATTTATCACTCGCTTCTTTTTGTTTGGCATCGTGATGTATCATATTCAAATTGGTTTTTAGATTGGTGCAGCACATAAATACAGATCCGCCGCGAAAACGACAACAAATATTTATTCGAGCATAGCATGGAAATAGAGATATTACATAAGATGCACATAACATGGTTCAACCAATATTACATCTCCAATGTGACCAACAACACAAAAACATTAAACAGTTTCGTTGTCAACCCTACCTCAAAACTGGTCCCGTTCCACCCCACCCGAAGTTAACCCCTCCAACAAGATGGCCCATACATCAACGCAGCTCCCTAGCTCCGCAGCTCCATCGATCCCAACATATTACCATCGCGCAACAGTATAGGAAGACCAAGAGAAGAATCCCCTGTAGCTGCAGCGCTACCTAGCGCCCCTTCCATCCCTAGCGCACGACACGGCTGGCGACACTGCTTACCCTAGCTAGGAGGAGTGAGGCCAGCTCGCGCTCTCCCATGGCCATGAGCGAGCAAGATGGGCAGCACGCCACGAACAGCCTTCCCGGAGATGCGGCGAACGGCGCCGTCGACATCGACTCCTTCTCGCAGCTCCCGTTCGTGCGGCCCAAGCCGCCCCCGGCGATGGAGGCCGGCGGGTCGAGCCCCACGTCGTCCATCCGTCTCTTCGGCTTCGACTTTCCACCCGACGGCGCGGCCTCCTCCGTCACCGACGGCGATGCTGCCGCTGTCAGCTCCACTGCTCCCGGCCAGGCAGCGGCGGCGGCGTCGGCGTCGGCGTCGGCGTCGGCCGGTGCAAGTGGCGGCAGCGGTGGTCGCAAGTTCGAGTGCCACTACTGCTGCCGGAACTTCCCGACGTCGCAGGCGCTGGGAGGACACCAGAACGCGCACAAGAGGGAGCGGCAGCACGCGAAGCGCGCGCAGTTCCAGAGCGCCATGGCCATGCAAGGTCACTACCCCGCCCACGCGTACCCCGCCTTCGGCAGCGGCTACCACCACCGCTTCGTCGCCGGGCCGCCGCACATGGGCCGCTACGAGCCGCCGCCGCACTACCCCTCGTGGTCCAACCACCACCACCTGGCGCCCACCATGCCAGCGGCGGTGCCCAGGTACTACGGCAGCGGCCCCGGCTCCGTGTCCCAGCCGATCAACGGCAGCCCGGTGCCGGCGTCGGCGCTCTGGCGGGTCCCGGGCGTCAGCGTGGCGACACCAGCAGCGCCGCGGCAAGAGCGGCCAACGCCCTTGACTCTTGCCGGGCGTGACGACATGGCGGTGGCGTGGGAAAGAAGAGGACAAGCCGGCTCGGCGTCGTCGGCGTCATCAGCATCGTCGTCTTCGCAGCATGAGGCCGCGCGCCACGGGGGAGAAGCCGCGGAGAACAGGGCAAACGTGAGCCTGGATCTCACCCTGTAATTCTCCAAGAACGGCGCGGTTGATTAATTAGCTGGTTCGTGAAGACCAAGAACGAAGGTTAATTCTTTTTTTTCTCTAGCTCGTGAATTCGTTTAGCTCGATCGATCAGCGGAGAGATTCTTTTTCCTTGGGTGTCAATTTTTGCAGTGTTTTCTTTCTCCTACTAGAGTACGTACTCATTCGTCCTGCTCTTCTCGCATCGCTTTAGATTGCTTTGTAAGGAAAAACGGAGGGGAAATAAATGGAACGAAAGGGAAAATGGGGAGTGTTGTCATTTTCATTTTCATATTCTTGAGCACATTTTCCAGCATTTTTAATCTTCTTTCCAATTCGCATCGATAAGTATATATGGACTGATGCATATGTCTGTCCTAGCACTAATTTTCTGGTGCGTCTGTCCGTCCATTCAAACCAAAAGTTGCCCTTTTTTCCTCTAGGGACTTGTCTCCATCCTCGAAATGCTATTCAGTTTTTGCCACTTTAGCTGACAGTTATCCTTATCATTTGCTTTTTGGAGTAGTGCCAGCATGCAGCGCTGCGGCAGCTGCTAGTAGCACCTAGCGGTTGCTGACAACATTTACTCCGAGGGTTTGCCCAAAGACGCAAGGCCAGCCTAACGAATGTCCATGCGCTGCTTACCACTTGAATGATTCTTGCCTGCAAATTGACCATGCATGCATTTCCCAGCTACCGAATTGATTGTCTCCACAGCGTCGAACTGTTCTCGGCATCCGAAAGTGGGTGCTCCTTGGATTCAAGATTTAGGATCCATCTGTGGATTCTATCTCCTTTTGGCAACATAATGCAGACTAGTGTGTGTTGCCCACGGAAACTGTACTAGGCAGTGATGCATATGCACAAATCTGAGCGGGCACTCCCAACATGCACAGCAGTAACAGCACCTGCCCATGCACATCGTCTATGCCTGCATCCGCGCATGAATGTGACACGTGCATCCACCAGTCCTTGTATTTCCTTAACCTACTCGCTATGATATACACACACATAAAGTTTTTAAAAAAAATACTGTATCACATATACTCGCTCCGTTCCTAAATGTAAGTCTTTGTAGAGATTTTACTATGAACTACATACGAAGCAAAATGGATGAATCTACACTTTAAAATGCATCTATATACATCCGTATGTGATTCATAGTGAAATCTCTACAAAGACTTATATTTAGGAACAGAGGTTGTACAAATGACTCAAGTATGTTTCTCGATTTCAACTTTTGTGAAAATCGTATTTCATTTGCGAGCTGCAGAAAATAACAGATCGAAACACTCTTACATGCGAGATAATGCACTTTTTTCCTTTACCAAGACCACAAATAAATTATTTTCCACATACTTTCCCTGGTACATACCAAACTCAATACAGTACATATATTTTCATACTCCCAAGAGCGGAAAATCCACTTCCCTGCCTTATTGCTTATTTTGTTTTCTGTGACTTCCTTTTCTCACTTGCATGCAAACTAGGACTCTTATGTACTCCCTCCGTCCCATAATGTAAGACGTTTTTTTGACACTTGTGTAGTGTCAAAAAAGTCTGACATTATGAGACGGAGAGAGTAGTAATTTTGTTTTCAAGCTTACTTTCATGTTCCTAGGTGTACATGCACAATGAACAAACACATAGATTGTACTCCCTTTTTTTTAGTTTTCATTATGGACTACATACAGATGTATATAGTCGTATTTTAGAGTGTACATTTTCACTCATTTTGCTCCGTATGTAGATTTCATTGGAATCTCTAAAAGGGCTTATATTTAGGAACGGGTGGGGTAGTAGGTAACGGAAAGAGACACATAAATTACGCCATCATTTTTGTTTGCATATTTTGGAGATGAATGATGAATACTAGGAACTAGCAAGGAATGAATAACAAAAACAACATACACTACATTGGTGTAAAGAATCAAAAACTATATTTTCGAATCTCAGTTAATTTTGAAAAGATCTAAATGTATATATGTAGAATTCCGGATGTATGATATGTACATACAAAATATATTGATACACATTTCAATATGTGACCCAGAAATAGAGTTACCATTCGTATTTGTGCACGAAATTTTCTTCCATATATAACTTCCAAATTAATATATTTTCAATGAAAATTTAAAAATGAAGGATAAACCTACATATATATTGTTGGAAAACCATTTGGATTTATGTGGAAAAAAAGCAACTACGATTTCGGCTCTCTCGTGGAAAACTATATGTATTTTATTAAATATAATATGGGGCTATGTGGAGCCCGGGACGAAAATTAAGACACTAGGAATTAATGGACATCGATGTTCATAGATGAAATATCACATTTCTATTTGCCCAAAACAAACATCAATGATGTGACATGACTGCTAAATTAGGTACCAGGTGGAACATAAAAAAAACTCCAACTTCAAAATTATCATCCAGCATATATTGTATTTGTTGTTTAAAAAACATATTGTATTTATGGTTGATTATGGTACCACGTCTTTTTAAATGGGTTGGATAAATTTGGCTATATACTTTCAGCAAAAGATGTTTAAATTGTGCTCTCACTAAGAGAAAAAATAAAAGATATATCCAATTGTGTAGTTTTTTACCATCATTTAGGTGCATTTATATAAAATGAATTTATTTTGCAAAGAGAGCCTTGGCTCAGTGGTTGGGCATTGCGGTTGTGCAGCCTAGCGACCCGAGTTCAATTCCTAGAATTGACAGGTGATGCACAAGAGTTTTCCCCCGTTTATTGAGGATCAAGCTTGGTGTGTGGTGGAACCTATCATCAAGAACTATCTTGATACTCATTTAAAAAAAATCTGAGGACCATGTATCTCTTGGTACTCATACTAAAATGGCCGTATGGATCCCTGATTGGTGCAGAGGCTGGGAAGTGAAAATCTCTCCCATTTTTTTGCAAAGAGAGCCTTGGCTCAGTGGTTGGGCATGCGGTTGTGCAGCCTAGCGACCCGAGTTCAATTCCTAGAATTGATAGGTGATGCACAGGGGTTTTCCCCTATTTATTGAGGATCAAGCTTGGTGTATGGTGAAACCTATCATCAAGAAATATCTTGATACTCATTTAAAAAAATTCTGAGGACCATGTTTATCTTGGTACTCATACTAAAATGACCGTATGCATCCCTGATTGGTGCAGAGGCCGGGAAGTGAAAATCTCTCCCATTTTAAAGTCTTACTGTTGTATTGATTTTGTAAGATCTTATGAGAATAATTAATAAAGTGGCCATACATCGCCCAGATGCAGAGGCCGGGGGTCATCCTCCTTTTTAAAAAAAAACTCATGACCGCATCAATTTAACGAGACAAAAGTACACAAGCAAACACAGTTTAATCATAAGTGAAAATGTATGAATATCATAGGTGTGGGCACAATTAGAAACAAGATTGTCATCCATGGTAGGTAAACACCTCTGGCTACTGCTTAATTTACATGCAAACCAGACACCACTGCCACCAACTCACGACTCACATTTCTCGCAGAAATACTAAGAATGAAATCAATGCATGTGTAATACTATAACCTACAATGGAGAAAAGACATTCTTGTTGTGAATGGCCATGCCAATCATTCTTGCATAGTAAACAAGAAAGTGCTACCATTCTGACAAAGATTTGATCTTAATTTATCTTCAACTTCATGCAACTAGTTATCAAACATGCATATTGAAGCACTCCTAGGGGATAGAAATTAAAGGGCACCTAGACCATGGACCCATGCAATAATAGTGAAAATACGGTGCTTAACTGAAGCTTTTCGAACATGATGGCATCTTTTTTACCGCTTAATTTACATGCTAGTCGAGCACAACATAGGTTGGCAATCAAGTTGACCATTCAAAATCTTGATAAAATAACCCCAGACAAAAATATTGTTGCTTATACGTGACTGTCCTTGTTGTTGAAGTGAAAACAAAAAACATGGGTAGGGGGTGAATATCCATCGGTGGATTTGTTTGACAGTTTGTGATGCTAGCAATTGTCACAATTGGGATTGTTAACAAAACCATGCAACAGATCGACATGCACCCTAGAGAACCAGACTTGACCGCGAGCCCCTATCGAGCGAGGTGTAATCATGTTGTGGAGTGGACTCAAGTACCTTTTAGATGCTCGGCAATGTGTCGCCGGCCAATTCATCGACACGAGACAAGCTATCCTTGTGATGTTTGTAGTTTGATCTCGTAGCTTGGAAGAAATTTCATTCAACCCAATTACCTAAGTTTTTATTTTTGAGAAAAGATTGTACCCCTTTATTGATCAAATAATAAAAGTATTCTTGATACAAATTTCGTCAGGAGGATCTATCGGCAGACATGTCAGACAATACCATTTATAAGACAAGATCGAACCAACCTGTGCACTTCTTTGTTTGAGGTCCTCCCTTCATGACAGAACATGGTAACTTTAAACTCATCTTTTCTAGCCCGTATTTCATCGACAATCTGAACATAAAGGGGTCTAGACTCGTCGTGGTGGGTGTTAATCACCCGAATGAAGACCTGATTGCCTAAGTGGGTTATCTCAAGGAATCCTTAGTTAAATATTGCCTTTAGTGAGAGCACTTTGTGCTTTGACATGAAATGAAATGAAAGATGGCCACCCAAACCCTCGGAGCGTTAGGCCGGCCCATGAGCTGACGTTGCCTAGAAATGAGAAGAGGGCTAGGTCATTCTACAGGCATGTCTATACCTCACTTCAAGTTAGTGTGAGGGAAGACTCACTGAAGGGGAGGTCGAGATGGGTCGGCCCATACACGCAGGATGCTACAACCTCTTCTTTCCTTTTGTTTTCACATTTTCTCTTTTCATTTTTTGCTTTATTTTTTACTTTTGTTTATACTTTAAAATATTCTCAATATATATTACAAAAAATGTTAAATGAAAAATGTTAAATGCGTATAGAAAAAATGTTTATCACGTATACAAAAATGTATACAAAAAAATGTTTATGAAAAATTGGACTATGTATTTACAAAATGTTAATCAAGAGTTCCAAAAAAAATATTGAACAAGTTTTGATTTTTTTAATCAAGTATTTGAACATTTTAAATGTGTATAAAAATATTGACCATGTATTTAAAAAGTAAGAAAAAATGTGACCATGTATATATTTTTTTAATCAAGCATTTTAAAAATTTATGAAAAATTATGTTTAAAATGTTAAATGTGTACAAAAAATATTGACCATGTATTAAAAATTTATAAAAAAACTTTGATAATGTATATAAAATACTAATCAAGTACTCCCTCCGTCCGGAAATACTTGTCATCAAAATCGACAAAAAGGGATGTATCTAGAACTAAAATACATCTACATACATCTCCTTTTATTCATTGTGATGACAAGTATTTCCGGACGGACGGAGGGAGTATTTAAAAATGTTGAGCAGTATTTGAAAAATATTAATAAAGCATTTTGAAAAATTTAAATGTGTGTAGAAAAAATATTGACCATGTATTAAAAATGTTAATAGTTTCATTTGGAATATGTTAATAAAGCATTTAAAAAATTAAAAATATATAGAAAAAATGTTGATTATGTATTAAAAATGTTAATCTCGTATGTTAATCAAGGATTTGAAAAATGTTGAAAACATGCGTCTAAAAAAGAAAATTGACCATGTATTCAAAAATGTATATTTGTACTTGAAAATGCTAAACATGTATTAGATATATTCCAAAAATATGTATAGAGAAACAGTGAAAACCCAAAAGAAAACAAAAGAAAACTGATGAAAACATGGAAATAAATAAGCAAAACCGAAAAAAATGAAGACAAAAAAGAAAGAAAAGAAAAAATCTTGTGAAAAAGAAAAATAAACGAAGAAAACCCAAAGAAAACACAAAGAAAAAAGAAAGAAAAGGAAAAGCAGAGAAAGAAACGGAAAAAACCGCAGAAAAAACAATAAAAAACAGCAACAAGAAACCCCCCGAAAAACCAGTGGGCAACCGGTTCTTTTCTCCATCTATGACGCGACCTACTAGCATGACCCTTCAGGCGAGTCTTCCATCGGGCTCGCTCTAAGCGAGATATAGCCTTTGCGTTATTCTACGTCATGAATGAGTCTTGGCCTGTTCTGTCTGCGTGGGCTTAGTTCTCTCCGAGAAGATGGCCCGTTCTCCTGCCGGTTCCTCTCATTTTCATCTCCCTGAAACGAATCCCCTCAAAAAAAAAACTCCTTGAAACGAATCAGTAGTGCAGCACCATCCCTCAAAAAAAAAAAACAGTGGAGCAGCACTCGCAAGCACCCCTTCAGTCGATCAGATCATGTCCGAAGCATAAGTGCAAAAAAGGGATGCGACGAGAGATAACTTGCCACACGTGACCATCACGCAGGGAGCAGGACAGTGGTCGATCCGTACGTACGTGTTGCCCGTAGTAATAATAAATAAATACTATAGCTCTGCAGTGGACTGTCCTAGATCTTGTTATCTTTCGCCATGGCCAGTGATATGATACACAGGAACACGACTGCTAGAAGACATACCTGCTGTGTTGTATCCACTTAAGATGGGCTTTCTTAACCACTAACGACGCAGAGGCCGCAGATCTTGGCAGAGCTCAAGGGGACACCGGCTCAGATAACAAATGTGCAGATCCCGTCGACGCTGCACCGGCCAGCGCACCCTCCGCCCCACGGCGCACGCTCCCCCCACTGCGCCAACCGTCACCGGCCGGTGGCCCCTGTGCTGCACGGGCGCGCTTTACTTAGCCCCGACGCGCCGGGGATCGGGCTAAGCAAAGCGCTCGCGTCGCGGAGCCCACGTGCGTGCGTGCCGACATGCCGCGTCAGCCGCTCCAGGGCCGGCCGGTCCGCCGGAACGTGCTCCGTGCCGGGGCGGCTGCTCCGATTGGCCGGCGCGCTCGCCACGTGTCGCCCCGGGTTCGTCTATAAATAAGCGCCCGCTCGGTCGTCCACTCTCCAACTCTCTCCATCGTCGAATCCCAAAGCTTCCGCCTCTCTCAAAACCTCAAAAACCACCTGCAGATCATCCCCTCAGTTCTATCGATCAAGAAGCCGTAGTAGGTGAGGCCAGTGACCTATGGGGAACTCGTACAGCAACGGCGGCTCGTCGTCGGGGCACCTGCAGGCGCCGGAGCTGCCGCTGCACCTCTGCTTCTTCCTACTCGTGCTGTTCGTCTTCCTCGGCTTCTCCTGGTACATGAGCTACGAGTCAGTGGCGGAGACCTTCGCCGACCAGGGCAAGCTCCTGCTCATGGTGTCCCCGCTCGCGCTGCTCCTCGCGGTGCGGCTGCTGTCGGGAGGCGACGGCGACGGGCGGCGCGTCGACCAGCTGATGTCCATGTCGATGCCGGAGAGGGACTCCATCCACCGCGCCGGGGGGTCGCCGTGGGGCGTCGGGCTCCTGCTCGTGCTGCTCATCGTCATGGTCTCCTACCAGTCCAACTTCCGGGAGAGGTGGTTCGCACTCTAGTGTCATAGTCACCGGATGATGACTGATTTCCATCGGAACCGAGATCGGGACATTGAGCAAATGAGCATGTACCTGTGTAACCCGAAACATGTGCATGGCTACGCGCAAGCACCCGTGTAACCCGAACTAAGGCCATTTCTAACACATCCCAATAAGCAAAGGAGGATACGGTGGAATAAAGAACGCATTTGGTTGCATGTATACCAGGCCCGCGTGGAAAAAACCTAGGTTCACGGTCAGGTCAGCATGGCACGGAATTTAAAGTGCCTCTGGGCATGGCTAGCTGGGCACGCAAAGATCGGCATTTGCTTACTAGCCAGGCTGGGCTGAGCCACAGCTAGCGCCAGCTATGTACCTGCTTCTTCTTCCACCTCCACTAACCTCCTTCCTAATCTCCTTTTTCCCTTCTTCCTTCTAATCTATACAACGGTAAAAGATGCACATCGATATTGCGGTTTCATTTTTGCGATCGGTTCGTAGTTTCGTTAACCGTAAATGCACAATTTTGTGTTCATGTTCGAAGCTATTTTGAACGAATTTTGTCAAATTTGTCGCCTACGGTCGACCGTTTGAAATTTTCTTTGACCGGCAGCTTCATCACACAATTCCACATGACATTTGTGTTGTAAGTCTTCTGTTTCGACGATCCTACCGCACTTACGCCGAAGTAGGCGTGCACTATATTTTTTTCTCCTTTATCCTCTCTCGTCTGCATCCTACTACATTGTAATCGTTTTCGGCGTCGGTCATCTTGGCCTCCTCTATCTCGCCGTACTGCACTGCCGCTGACATGGCGCGAGCACTGCATTTCTCCTCCTCTGTCCACTGTCTCTGTGCGGACTTTCTTTGCGAGGACGAGGCTAGCAACTAGTTCGCTGCGCCGCCGACGGGGTTGCTCGCACACGACTCCGTGCATGTCGTGTCGGACGCGGCACCACCACAGCAATCACCATGGTCCGACACACACTGCATTTCTCCTCCCCCATCCTCTGCCCCAGCGCTCCTCCGTACAGACTTTCTCTTCGGCAGCGACGCTAGCAACTAGTTCACCGCAGCACCGACACGAATGCTCGTCCTAGACTCCGTGCTCGTCATGTCGGACGCGGCACCGTGGTCACCGTACGCCACAGTCACCGTCCACCGCAGTCGCAAGGCACGGTGTAACTATGTGTGTTAAGTACAAGTGTCAGCTCTTAATCATATCCCGCGTATACAACCAAACATTGTGTAGTTGCATCACGCGAGCCAATGCAGGCAATCAAACACTATGCCAAAATTGCCCACCTAATGCGAGAGATCTAGATGCGGGCAACCAAACAATGTGCAGATGTTAGTTTTTACCATGCATTTCCTCACTCAGCCTCTAGTGAGCCACGCTTCGTTGAGCCACGCTGCACCGCAACGGCTGCCAAACACGCCCTTAGAGCATCTACAACCGGGCGCCTTAAACCCGCCTCATATGCCCGGGCGGGCTGCCAGGTCACTGTCCGTCGCAAATTTTGACCCAGACGCCCCCCTCAAATGGCTCTCAAACGCCCGAGTTGACCGGCATCCCTCATATCTAGTCCAAATAGGGGGCGGATATGGGGCTCGGGTGCACCCGCCACGTCGTACCCGACCCACGCTGGCCCATCCGACCTCACATATATTCCTCCCCATTCGCTCGCTGGGCCAAACCCTAGCCACTCCTCTCCCCTTCGCCACCCAAGCTCGTCTCAAGTGACTTTCGGTCGTCTCCGACATGGCGGGGGCAGATCCGAGTCCTTCACCTCCAGATCCGTCGACCCCGAGCTCATCCCACGCGGCCCCGAGGAGGAGATGGTCGTCCGGCTTGCGCTTTGTCGCGCCCGGAAGGAGGCCGAGGCCCGTGCATGGCAGTGCTCAAACTCCTTCCGTTGGGAATCCATTGCGTCCACCCAAATGACGCATGGATCCGGCGCTAGGCCGACCGTAGCTACCTCGCCGAAGGCGGTGCGGTCCATATGACGTCCAAATGCGGTGGCGGACGTGCAACCCCTTCGTTGGCGCGCCAAGCATCGGGACGCACCATGGGCCTCGTCCGACGAGAACATGGCACGGCATGCCCGTTGTGCCAGGCACCGGCCGGGGGAGGCGGCGGCAACTCTCGGAGCGGTGGACATCTGCGAGGCGGAATCGCATTCTCCGACGCTCTGTATGGCGCATCAGTCCGGGCGCCGCAACCGCATCATGGTGGACGTCGGTGACTCGTCCCAGGAATCCGTCATCGATCTAACGTCCACCGACACCATTCGGGTTCCGGGCTCCGACAAGGAAGAGTAGGGCATGGGAGATGGCGGCGCCTTGAGTCCCATGAGCCGGCTCGTGTCCCATGCCCTACTCTATCTTGCGGGCGACCGGACAACACTCTATGGAGCGCAGCCGGCTGCCGGACATGGCTAAGGTGGAGTCGGGCGAGCGGGGAGCGGAATCGTACGAAGCTCCACTCAAAGATCACTCCGTTGTATGTAATAATATGGATTTGAGGTTTCTAATTTGCGATATCCGGATGTGGAATGCATTTTTTTAGGCGTGACCAGTCACTGTCTAAGGACGCGCCCGGGCACATCCACAGACATTTGAGGGGTCGGATTTGCCAAGTCAAGCTGTTGATGCTCTTAGTAGAGTATATTTACATCACTAAGGTTTGGCTGGACCTAGCCAATCCCCTATATTTAGAGGAGTAAACGTTTGTTTTTCTAAACTTTGCAAGTATGCATTGCAACTACATATTAGCACACTATAGAAATTAAACATAAATTTGAATGTTCAAGCAAATCATGAATATAATTTACGAAACGAATTATTGAAATTTAAGCACATTGAATACTCCAAATGTAAAAATAGCACGTAATAGAACAATTAGGACACGCTATGAAGTTGCCCGTGATGATCAACAAGAAGAAGAGGGGGAAGGGGTATAAAACCTCTAATATTTTCCACATTATATGACCCACTTTGCCCGGGGGGGTACGGGGTACTTGAGTTCCATCGCGGTTAATCCACATGTTTCCCAGGCATGTTGCCCCTCGTGCGCATGCAGGCTAAGAGAAAAACATTAAAAGGGCCGCTAAAAACCGGCGTTAGGGCTAATTACGACCCACCTTTTATTATACACATCTAGGGTGGACCTCGGCAAGGTAGGCCCGCCCAAGAAAGGTTATCTGGCGTGTGATGGAAGTCTTCCGATCCCATAAAAATGGAAAAACACTTTTTGGGGAATTGGGGTTTGACCTCCTCGGATATCTGAAGTATTTAACTTTTTGGACTAAAAAAAGTTGTTTACACTAGAGGAAAGCATTGAAGAAGAGACATCATGCAACTTTGAAGGGACTTCGGATGCAAGGGTGTGCTCGGACGTGGAAATCAAGATGAAGCATCAAATTTGTCGAACTCGCCTGCAAAGTCGAAGACTCAAGACGAAGCCACTCCGAGGAGTTCAATGTCCTCGGCTTGAAGACCAGTTCAGGGGGCTACTGATAGTGTCATAGACTAGGGGTGCAAACCACGTCAGCCTCTTCTTAGTCGGTCGGTCCGAGGACCCCTAGATCATCACCAAACGGGCCAAGACTGCCATGCGCCTCGACGTACTCAATATGGAATCCTCGAAAGACTTGACGCATACTCAAGACTTATTTGAATCTTCGGCATGTTTATCCTTAGGTGTAACCGACCTACATGTAACTCTAGGTACCCCTGGTGTCTATATAAGCCGAGGGGTTTAGAGTGTAGGTCAAATTAGATTCAACATACGATCTCGAGGTAAATCATCATGTACTTTGCACTCCAACACAATCAATACATCAGAAGCAGGACATAGGTTTTTACCTCTTCAAGAAGGCCCGAATCTACGCAAACATCATATCCCTTGTTCATCATGTTACCATCTAGTCAAGATCATCAGTTCGGGACCCCCTACAAGAGATCTGACGAACCACCTTGAAGTGTGGCGATGGCGTGCTCGGGCGACTCGAGCGTCCTCGTCGCCCCGCGGGGCGATTCGCCCGCCGCGCCTGCCTCGCTGCCGGCCGCCCTCACCGTCATGGCCTCCGTCGCCCTCGCCGCCCCCTCCTCCCTGCCGGCCCCTTCCCTCCCGTCCCCTGGACCACCTGGCCGGGTGGTCCGGGTGGACTTGGCGGAGGATGCCGACCGCGCCGCGGGTCGGCCGGTCGAGTGCCGTGACTGCGTCCCCCCGCCCGCCCCGGCTCGCCCGCCGCCGCCCCGCTCCGCCGGCGGCCTTACTCTTGGGGGTGGGAGTTCGGCTGTCCGGGCGTGAGTTCGGCCTCCCCGCTGGTCGCCGCGTTCCTCGCCGGTGACCGTGGGGAAAGGCTCGGCCTTCGGGGCTGGGGCTGGCCGCCGCCGGCGGCGCTTTACCGGCTGGGGTGTGGCCGGTCGGGCGAACCTCGGCCCTGCCCAGGCATCCTGGAGGTGCTCCGGTTGGCTCGCCCAGCCGCCCCGCCGCCGCCGTCGGTCGCCGGCGTCCCTCTGCTCTCCCAGCGTGTCCCCTTTTGTCCGTTCATCGCATTTTTCGGCTTGTCCCGGTACTGTTGCACCCCTTCCCCCCGCCGAGCCAGCCGTCCACCTTGCCAGGGGAGGCTGGAGGAACCCTAGCCGGCGGAGGGGATCCTGCCCCTGGGCTGGGCCTGGCCGTATCGGGCCCCGGGCATCTATTGGGCCTGTTATTGAAAGCACAAGTGCTCCCTGGGTGATTTTGGTAATTTATGTCAACATATCTCTTGTTAGACTAATACATTTACCTAGTACGTTTCAAATAAGTTCAACAATGGAGTGGCATGGACTAGAGGATGTGGAACCCCTTCAAGACGCTAAGGACAAAAGGATTGGCTCAAGCTCAAAGCACAAGACTCTATATTTTCTATTTTAGTGATCCAAGATCACATTGAGTCTATAGGAAAAGCCAATACTATCAAGAAGGGATGAGGTGTTGCTTAATGAGGCTCTTGCTCAAAATGCTTAGTGAT